TGTTTTTTTCTTGTAAAGTTGTTTGAGTTCTTTATATATTCTGGATATTAGTCCTTTGACTTAAACAATTGCAATAGGCTTCTTCACTCCCAAGTTAGCTTTATAGTCCTGTTTTTTTCTCCAAATAGATCCTTGCACAGCTCCCTGTATATCATTCCCTTATCTAAAATTTGATACCATTCCCCCATTGCCTACAGAATCAAGGCTAAACCCTTGTAGTTAAGGCTGGCATTCAAGTTTCTCCATAATTTTGACCCAATCTACTGTGCCAAGCCCTTCTTGGTTTAACTGAGATCCTAACTTACACATATTTTCTCATACTGCTCCAAGTGCCTGGAAGAGTTCATGTCTGATCCAAAAGCTCAGAGTCTAGAAGAATCTCAGGGGGACGGAAGACGTTCATTGTGTGTGTGATGAATGAGCGAGTGAACAAATGAATGAGTGAATGCTTCTGTCCTTCCCCTGTACCCCACTGCCAGCTCTGCTTCCCCTCCTTATTCTGCCCTTATACCCGTCTGACTCAGGGCAAGCTTCTCTCCAGCTCAGTAGTTTTTTGGTTTCATTCCTTCTGCAGATGATGTTGTTTGGTGGCTGCTGCCACTCAACAGTTTTTACTTTGTTTTGTGATGATACAGGGATCAGAGTTCTCAACTGATTATGTGTCTGGGCTCTTGAGCAAATCTGAGCTGTGCTTTCCAGGAAAGGCTTGGCCCTGCTTGGTCTCAGTTTTATATGGAAATAGAAGAGCCCTCATTAAGGGGACAGGTGGGACTTATAAATAATTATATCTTAACTGGTGTTTAAAGGGTATGGATCTCTTTTGAATTGATGGAACAAAATGCCTGCATTCTAGGATCACTAAGGATCTCAAATTTGAATTTTCTGCTGCATCGCTATTGGAAAATAAAATTAACTGAATTGATGATACTGTCCGTGAATCTGATCTACCTCCCTATATTCTAATTCCAGGGTCACTCAAAAAGTCTCTGACTATAATGTGGATAGCCATGTCCCAAGAAGTTTTCTTGAGAATTGAATATTACTAACTTAACATCCTGGTTATGGATTTAAAAACAAAAAAAACCACTTGAGACTGTTTGTGTCACAAAATACAAATGAGTCTTCTTCTAAACTTTATTTGCATATGTAATTATACCTTTTGACATATTCATACCTGGATATATTTAGATATCGTTTGAAAGCCTCCATAAAAATTTGTAATACTGGCTTCATTTAACAAAGAATATTTATCTTCTACGCAAAAGACAAGTGTCAAAAAAAAAGGAGGAGGAGATCCTGACAAGACAGTACTACAAATCTTTTACCTCTTTTGACTCAGTCCCGAGCATTTGGTATTTGAGCAGCATGGCAGGGCTCCGTGCAGTCCCCACCTCTACCATTGCAGCCAGAGCTGCAGTTAAATGACGACACCTCTGAAACTCCCCAGATTCTACTTCACAGTATTCTGCAAGAAAAGTCACTGGAACCAGAAGAGGTTTGGGGTGGCCAAGCAAAGACTTGTTCATGTGAATTTCCTTCCTCTTTCTGTAGAACTTACTAGAAAGGCTTCCCTTGATGTCCACTGTTTTCCTGGGGGCATAGAGAAATTAAATTCACTTAGAGAGCACCTCCATAAATCTGCTCGTCTCTCATCAGGGACAGCACAAATGAAAATTGATTTATTGAAACAGCTAAGTACTATTTATCTATTATTTAAAAAACAAAAACAAATACAAAACCGGGAGTCCAGTTTCTATTAAGGACTGTTGCAAGAAATGCTTTCACATTTCTGGTAAAATAACTGGCAGAGCCACTGTCCTTTATGCCCTTTTAAGTGTACATTATGTGAAAAGCCTCGTGATAATTCCCCTTAGAACAAAGAGTTAGAAGAACATTCACCTCCCTTGAAAATATGGTCTGCTTCCTTGCGTTAGATTAGAAGAGTTAGGGAATCCCTCGAGCTTCTCTTTTTGCCATCGCTGCCAAGAATCTCAGGATTGCCTCCTCTGCTCAAATACACTAACCTTTACTTACAGTTTCCTGGCATTCCCTAACGGCCATCTCCACACTGCATCATCTTGTAATGGTTTCACTATTTTATCTTGTCCTTGATTCTAGCTCTTTTCAACTATTTTCAAAGTATATAAAGCATAATAAAATAAAACTTAAAAAAACTAAGAAAAATGAACCCATGTACCATAAGTTTTCAAGCAGAGGTTGAATGAACATCTGGCCGGGATGCAATATCAGCAACAGCTGTATTAGGGCAAAGGAGAACCAAAGCAAATTCTAAGTAACAAACAAGATGGGCTTGTTCCTTCCTGCTGTGTTTCTTAGTGTTTTCATCTAGGACGTCACACCATATTCCAGGAAGATTAATTATGGTAAATAAGTTCATTCCTATGGTGTCTTTGAGAAGGGACATCCAAAATATTGGCTGGTTTTTGTAACCAGAATATTACACTGTATTCTACTGTAAGTAGTTCATAAATTTTATTTACAGGCCCTCTTCAAATCCAATAAAGACTACTGGATTTTAATATGCTCTCTCTCCAGAGACATGAACATATGCACATAAACTGAAATGTGAACATAATACTAGCCTTCGGAAACCCATCAACAGATCTCCTAGGTTAATAACTTTGGTTCCAGACCCATGGTTTGTATATGTCTGTGCAGTAGGAGAAAGTAAGAGAAACAAAGTCTTGGACAACTGCTTAAATAAGAGCCCACTATCAAAAATTTATTCTGTCTTTCATTTGTTGATATTAGAATAAAATGGCTTCCCAAAGCACTTAGGTCTACTAATAAAAGTGATGAGATATGGGTACATAGATGCTAATAGATGAATTGTTCACAAAAGAATAATTCAGAAGAACTCATGTGCTGGACTGAGCTCTCATATTAAGTAGGAGGAAGCTCTTGCCCTTATGCTTGTGAACTATAGGACTCCTGTTGAGGTCATGGAAATTATTTTCAACAAACAGCCTCCTTAGAGTAGATACAGAGATTAAAAGAATCCCAAATAGGCAGCACCATGGTGTGCTAGGATTGGAATCGGGGGTCGCAAACTCTGTATTCAAGGGCCAGGTAGGGACAAGGTAAAACAATAGGAAGTGAAGAGGATATTGGTCCCTGGAGAACTTCCTTCCCAGATGTTCACTGTTCATAAAAAAATAGTGGTTGATTCATGTCTTAGTCCATTTTGTGTTGCTATAGCAGAATACCTAAGACTAGGAAATTCATAAAGAAAAGAGGTTCATTTAGTTCACTCTGCTGGAGGCAGGGAGGTCCACCATTGGGCAGCTACATCTGGCAAGGGCCTCAGACTGCTCCCACTCATGGTAGAGAAAGGAAGGGGAGCTAGCATGTGCAAGAAGACCATATGGAAAGAAAGAAAGCAAGAGAGAGAAACCAAGGAAGCCACTGCTCTCAAGAAAACTAAATGAGTCTTGCAAGAGCAAGAACTTACTCACTACCTTGAGAACAGGCACCAAGCAGCCCATGAGGACGGAGCTCCCATGACCCAAACGCCTCCCATTAAGCCCACCTCTTAAAGGTCCCACCTTCTGACACCACCACATTGGGAACAAAGCC